GAGAACGCCTTATGGACGGCAAGGTTGTTGCGCATACAGGGACGAAAAACATTTACTGATATACAGTTCATCACTATGTTCCATCTCAACAAGGCCAAATGCCACCGGATCCAACTCCAGGTGGAAGCAGAGACTCTTGACGCAAGAATAAAGGGATGCGATACATGTAACGGTTGCAGAAGAGCGCAAGGCGTATACTGGAAAAGGGAAGCAGAGCTTACTGGAGACGGAGCTTTCTTCCACAACTACTGTCGGCAAGCAGCACAAAGGAGAAGACAAAGCAAGCAAATCACATGGGTAAATTAGATATAAAGCAATGACTGACAAACGCTGTACCAGTAAGTGCATGCATACGGTGGGTAACTACCGCAGGCGGGGGCATCCCATGGCCGCAATAGCGGCAGTGGCGTTGCGAAGAGGAGCAATTTTCGAGTCACGTGTGGAAGAAGCGAAATCTGCAGGGAAACACTCTAAAGCAGACCCGCATCAAGTGAACACAAAAATACAGCAAAACACACAGAGGCAGAATGTTGCGGCTGAAATGGGAAGAAAATGCAGCGGAGTAAGAACTACTGCACCAAAATACACAACGAGAAGGACCCATATGTTCTTTTTAGTGACGAAAAGTGCAAGCTGTTGAGGTGCAAGGCCATCGTGGGTTCTACTTGTAGCCCACAACTTCCTCCAGGGCCGTACACTTCGGATAATAGGTAAAAGTCACTATGGCGCAAAGGGACCTCGTCCTGGGGCGACCACGACTAGCTTGCTTTGCCGTAAGATCCGGGGGTTGGGGCAAGATGAGCTGAATCTGCGCTGCGCACCATGTCCACGTAGGGAAACGTAGGGTAGAGACGTATGCATTCTTTGGGGAGCTGGACTTACAGTAAATCTGTCTGAGGCCTTTGCATGATTAAAAGGTGTCTTTAGTATGCAGTAATGAATGGAAGCCTATGTAGCCAGAACAGGTGCCATGCTGGAAGTAGCTGATTGCAGAGCCTGTACCGAGGACCGCCGTCGCTACCGTTAAGCTAAAGCCTAATGCCTTCTCCACACAGCGCATAAGTGCAACCATGAGAGTCAGTAGTTGTTCTCCAGGTTTCAACTATTTAGATTTCTACGCTGCGGCGGAGCCCAGGAAGGCCCAGGCGCCTTCTTGGGCTCCGCCGCAGCCTAGAAAGGTAACTAGTTGGGCCACTGACACCTCAATGTCGTCTGCAGTTTGCCTTGTCTCTCAGCCACCTCCTCCCTTGCTTTAGTGCCTTCAATTTAGGGACATCTTTCTTTTCTCATTGCTAACGTTCCATCTCTGTGACTACATCAATTTTTTCTTCCACGTCCCCAAAGTAGTTAAAGGAGCCTCGACAGTTTGAAACCGTCTTCCGATTTACTTGGGTTGAGGAACACCTTGGCACTTCGCTCTAGAGCTCCCTAAATATGGCACTTCGCTCTAGAGCTCCCTAAATATGTTACGCCTCGCTGACAAGCTTTACTTAGGAGTTACAGGCCATCAACAAAAGTCACTGTTTGGGTCATGGCGTGGCTAGTTGCCCGTATATTATGAACATTCAGATGAATCCACCGAAGTCACGAAGAGCCGGAGGGGGAAGAAGTATGAGACTTAGATGATTGCTGGGGGAAGGCTCTGTTGATAAACTGCTTGAAGACGCACAGTTAAGGAATTATAGTTAAGGCGTCTGCCAAAGCGTGTCTGCATTTGTCTAACTCCTGATAACCGACATGCGCAAAGCACGTCTAGAGAATTCAATGGCGAGGTACCAAACTAGGTGACATCCGAGCTGCCAAGGCTGTTCACAACCAAATAAAGCTAGCCCAATTCAAACGTCCGCTACAAGAATTGTTGCTTCTCTTGGATGAAAAAGGGCAAAAGTGGCAATGAGCTGGTCGTCTGGTACTGCTCATACACCCCCAAGTCTCCAGTGGACCAGTAACTCCTGCACGGTTCCAATGGGGCCACATCACTAGCGTGCTATGGGAACTTATTGTACGGAACAACAACGTCAAAGTGTAATCCAGCTGTCTGGAAGTGAGATGAGGACTATTCATTAGGAAGGCTCGCCGATACTCCTTCCCCAGCAAGAACCCTTATACTTCACCAAGAGCTCTCAATGAAGTCGAGTGAGGCCTTCGGCTTCAAGCACTTGAAGTCGTTGCTCTGGCGCAAGAAGGTCTTTATGCATTGCAGCTGAAACAAGGCAATAACAGAATAAATAAAGGTTTAGTGAAACATGTACTCTACAGATTCTGGTGTCACTGCCATGTATTTGGCAGACGGGGGAAAGACTAATGATGGCCAAAAATCGCAGTCGTGGTAGGCGCTGGCATTTTCACTCATTGCACCGGAACGTTACAGAAGTAACCGAAAATGCTGATGATATGTGTTGCAGTTTACATCTGTAGACCAAAAATATTAAGCTAATAAGCTTTCAAGAGACGGTCACGTGAGCATTCAGAGCATTCACAATGCAACTCAAACAAGCTGTATGTGCAACACAGACGACCGTATGGGCCCTCTGGACGTTCGTAAAGGCCTCTCTGGGGGAACCATATTCTTTGTTTATTAAAAATGACAATTAAACATTTATTTGAATTCCATATTTACTGTGCACACGTGGCTAATAGGACGTAGGTGTGCGAAAATGGCGCCCGCTGTGAGTCCCCTTATCTCGAGACCTCAGCCCCATGATCCCACACTTGTTACCCACAAGCAAAGAACACATCTTGAATCGTATAAAAATGCGAATGCGTAGATATCTGTCGGCTTTTTGCACCGCGTATATTTCCCCCTTGAAACTGCAAGGCCCCCAACGGCAAATCTTCACCCCGACAGTTTCCTATACGCATCGCAGTGCAGCGCTCAGCGCCCTCCACAGCTACAGCAGCAGCAGAATGTCGTCAACCCAGCAGAAGCCCTACGACCCCGACAACGTCTTTGCAAAGATCCTTGATGGCCGACTGCCGTGCCACAAGGTCAGCTGATGAACTGCACATTGCCCCGAGCTATTTGCCCTTTTAGGGGATGGGAAAAGTCGTTCTCTTTGCCTCAGTCACGTTGCCTACTTGTAAATGAAGTCACATTTAGCATCAAATAGAGCACTTCAGTGTCTACTGTTGCGAGTACTAACTGTCGTCTTAATGTCTATAAACGAGGGAGTGAATAACTACTCCAGGGGTGAGACACGAGAGGCAGTACAGGTAATTTCAGCGGGGTAGTGGGGTGACAAACGCAGTGCGGCGTTTTGCGTCGCCTTGCATGCACTTCAAACAAACAGGCTATAAACATTAAGCACCACTTGCATGAAGAGTTGTGTGGGCGTGCATGCCCGCCAGCGTATGTAGCTGCATGCATCATGCATTCTTGCATGATATGCATATGTTGCATTTGTGTGTTCAATAAATCAGATCTTCGAGACAGAAAGCTGCATAGCCATCTTAGATGCCTTCCCCACAGCCCAGGGCCACGCCTTGCTCATATCGAAGGCGCCGGCACTCACAATTATGGATCTAAGTGAACAGCAGGCGGGAGATGTGCTGAAGGAACTCCCCAGACTCTGCAGGGCAGTTCAGAAGGTGGGTGTGCATAAACCTGAAGTGTGGGTGTGCTTACATCTGAGGTGTGCGTACACCTGAAATGGAGTGACCTCAGTAGAGCCCCCTCCCGTGGCCCCCCTTCGTATCTTTTCAGAAGTGAATGTTTTTCCACATGCTTAGGCCTTAATCCTCTCGAAACTACGAGGAGTTTTGCGACTTCAGGCCACAAACTGCGACGCAGTAAATGTGCTTCACAACGGCGGGGCCGCCGCTGGCCAGATCGTCCACCACCTGCACTTCCACGTCGTGCCGCGTTTTGAAAACGATAATCTTTTCAGACAGTTCAAAAGCGCCAGCTCTATGATCACTGCAGAAGAGGCTGCGGGAATTCTCGAGAAAATAAAGGCAAATCTGTGAAAGGGAAAATAGAGGCAAATCTGTGAAAAAAACAAAAATATGTGAAAAGACTGAGGAGGACCCCCCAGAGAGGAAGAAAAGACCTGGATCTGGGCTAATTGGAAGCCCCATGAAAGCTTCCGAACTAAAATGTTATGAAACCCAAAACGTCTAGGGCTTGCAGCTGTGCCCTGTCGACGAAGACGGCGCATATAAAGACACTTAGTTCGCACATTGACAGCAAGCGAGGCTTCAGCGCGCCAGCGCAGTAGAAGCTTTAACTTGATTGCTCGGTTTTTACGTGCATGCCTGCAACGCTTCGAGCCTTTCAATTGTGCGGCTAAACTCTTTTCCCTCTATCTAAAGATGATGTGGCGAAGTTGGTAGTCCACTTTGTGCTAAGGTCCCGAATCCAAACTTCGGATTTATGTGCAGAGGTAGGGTTGGAGTTACGCCAATGTCTCGCGTCGACGACAAACTAGACGCGGTGCATGCAGATGCAGTGAAGACTTCGCCCGGTGTTCCTTTTGTTCAAATTCTACCGAACTATGAGAAAAGCGCTCTGTAGACCAGTGGAATGAACCCATCAGTTAGCAAGCACAGCGCGTTCGGAAGCACCGCTCTGCATGCACTTATGCATGTAGGCGGTTTGCATGCACCTCCACAAGTGAATATACAGTATCTGAGTATAAAAATACGTGTGCCAGAGACTGACGCCCTGCAGATCTGGCGAGCCACGCTCATGTCTTGAGTGCGCCTCAGCCGAAGACGACGGCGTGATGAGCGCATGAGATACGAGCATTGCCTTTGTATTGAATTCTGAAGCATTTGCGGAGTGCAGGCCACCTCACCACTAAACACGCAACACTCCAACACTGCACGGGAGTTCACTGACTGATTGTCCTGCAGCCGATCAAGCTCGAAAGAAATGAATGTACCATGTCTGCTGCTATGCAGCGCTTTGAAAAGCCGTCACCGCGTAATCCGTTTGGGCTTCTGGCTTGTTTGTGTGGTGCCCAGACTAAACATGAGCAAGAAAACCAGAAACTGCTAGTTCAGAGAAGCTTCATGAAGTCTTCGAACGCCCAAAGGCCGTTCGCACGCGGCTGTGTCGCCTTGAGCTCCCTGACAACCTGCACATACAGCGGTGCCGTTGCAGCAGTGACGCCTTCCAGCTGCAAAATGCAGGAAGCCTCTGCAGGGACTTGAAACGTATTTCCGTGCTCGTCAATTCCTGTGACCAGCTTTGTCTGATCGAGAACGGCGCCTGGAGGGAGAGGCTCCCCCGCAGCTTCGGCAGCAGCTGCTGCCCGCATGAGTGACTCTACTGCTGCGTCCGCACGTTTGGTCTGCGCCTCCAAAACTCCCTTCAGATCCGAGCGAGGATCGAAGTGCAGAATTGTCAGGAGATCGTTGGCTGAGACATAGTCATCTACGTTGCGGTCCAGCAAGCGAAATGCCACGCTGCGCACAACAGCAAAATAACAAGAAACCTGCATTGACTTTCCCTCTTGCGGGAAAACCGAAACGCCGAAACTGAAAAAAAAAGCTAGCAGTACTGCCTCTTCCACTTCAAGTTTGTTGCCAACTTGCTTGCAACAAACTGGAAAAGAAGCAGGAGATCAGCACAACGATTCCCCCGCGAGTTGTGAGAAAATCGGGTCTTTCACGTGCTAATCATACATCGGCACTTGCCTGCACGTTGGCTCTCTCTCAAGAAAGTCTACACGGGTCATTGATGCAGCTACAAGCTCATCGAACTCCACTGCCCCGCTGCCATCAGTGTCAAGGCAGACGAGGGCCTCATCCATGGGGCAACTGCAAGCGCCAGGTCCTTCTGCTCTTGTTTCTGTAGAAGCGGAAGCAGCTGATTGATGCGCTGCTGCTGCGTCACTGGTCAAGTCCGCCGATTTCCCCACTTGTTCTTGCTGAACTGAAGACTCGGCGAATGGCGCTTCCTGCGTTTTCAGAGCCTCATCTAGCAGCTTGCAAAACTGATCCAGAGCAAACACCTGTGGCTCCTCCCCTGGGAATACATCCGAAAGCGCCAAAAGTGTCTGTAGAGGAGAGGCTGGCAGGTTGTCGACGATCCCGTTGCTGCCGCTACTTCTGTGAGCGGTGCTGGGATCTACCGTTGCACATGAAAGTGCGTCAGTACTAACACTGGAAGCGGCGGTGTTTGGTTCGGAGTCTCTCAAGAATGATTCCAACTTGAAGAAGTCTCTGACGACTCTAAGGCTGTCAAGCAGGCACCGCCCTGAAGAAGCAGCAGCAAAGCAAGCACTGCATAAATGTACAACCATAAAATTACGTGACATATTCGCCAACGTACACAAACCATGAGAAGGCTCCTTCATGTGGCGTGAAAAGCACAAGGCAACCAAACTCATATCAGATCCACTGATACTGGGGCTACATAGGGAGTAGCATAAATACGAAGTCTATGAATGCGTTTCGAATGTAGTAATATAAGCCCCAGTGGAGAATACGTTATCCTTTTGCGTAAAACTTGCAAATATGTGTATCTGCGTATTTGTATACACAAGCCATATGCGGCGCGAGTACTACGTACGCACGCATGCAGTTTCTAGCCTTACTTGACACATGTCCTCTTCGCTGGGGGTCTAAGACCCACATAATGTCTCTGACGGGCCTGAAGACATCGTCGCTCTCCATCAACTTCACAACAACAGACCGAAGCGCCTTTTGCAGAGGGCTCAGGCGAGCGAACTCCAGCCAGGCAGCAGCTTGCAGCAGCAGCAGCATCCGGGCTTCGAACAGTTCTACCGTCAGCCAGTCTGCAACCGCCATGCAGCAGCTCCTGTTACTGCTCCTGTTGCTGTTACTGGCCCTGCCACAGCGGCAGCAAATGGAGCTCGCCGCAGCGTCGGGTGCTTCTGTCCGCTTGTTGAAATCAGCCTCAGCGCTGCTGCAGTTACAGTTGATGCGTGAGCTGCTGCTGCTGCCATCAGGGGGAGACACACGAGGCCTACAGGGAGGCAAATGAAAATGCGGCACATTCTCGAGAGGAGGTCCCATCTGCCCCTGAAAATGTGTCACTGCCTCAAGGTGCACTGCCTTTGCCACTCCAGCAGCAGCCGCGGCAGCAGCAGCAGCGGCATTTGTTTCCGCCACACAGCTTTCCAATCCCAGCAAGCCTGAGGTGGGCCCCGTCAGCCTGACGTGAGGCTGCAGCTGCTGACTACTGCACGAGGGCGAGCCGCGCCAGTCGCTGCTGCATTCCGACAAAAAGGTCAAGGCCCCCTTGCCCGCGCACGACACACATCGCAGTGAACTTATGCCCAAGGCCTGCAGCACGCAGCACTTTGTTTCTCCTCCAGCGTCTCCATTCAAATGCAAATCTTCTTTCTCCGCAGAAATCGTGGGGTAAGATGAGCCGGCAGCTGCTTGCTCCGACTGTGGGGAACACAGCCGTTTGTGCTGCTGCTGCTGCAACTGCTGCTGCTGCTGCGGGGCTTGCATACCACTCCCCGCCACAAGCGGGGCTCTCCCCCAACATATCCGGAGTTGTTTTGCGTCTTTCTGCTGCTTCTGCGTGGATACACAACCATGGATGCACCTCCAGGCGCTGCAGCTGCTGCAGCAGGAGGCGCTTTCGGTCTTTTCTGCTGCTGCTGCTGTAGTGTGTCTTTGGCGAAAGTGCTGCAGCAGCGGAGGATCCGACGCCGCCCTAACGACTGTCTCTCTGCCACCGCTGCTGCTGCCATCCTGGGTGTGCGCCGCGCTTGTGTGGGCTGTGGGGTCTGAGGCGGCTCCGTTCGGGTGCTGGAGCGCGCTGCGGCTGAGGGAAGGTGATAAGAGTGAAAGGCAAGGTGGAGTATATGGGGAGGACTCCGGGGTTTCTGAGCTGCGCGACTGGGGAGAAGGGTCTGCCAGGTAATTCATAGAAGGTGCAGACACTGCGCGCATGAGGCCTGCAGAGAAACACACACAGGCAGCAAGCCACCCGGCAGCACGCCGCATGCACTTCTGTACAAGCGAGGCACCGCAATATCCGGAAATGAGCAAAGACAAAGACACAGAGCGACGCAAAAGGCAAGCTTTTGGGAGCATCCGAATGGCAGAAGCGAAGCAAAACACCAGCAAAGAGGGGAAAGAGCACAAGACAGCCACACACACTATCAAGGACAAGCGCCTGCAAACTGCGAAACAAAGCCACGCACGTCTTCTCTCCTCCCGAAAGCACTGCTGCAGCCAGGGATGCTTCAACATGAGTTCTGCTGTCGGCTGGGAATAGGGCGGGGGCGGGGGAGGCCCACGGAGGTGCAGCGGCAGCAGCGGGTTGTACAGAAGAGCCCGCAAGAAGCCCAAACACGATAGAGAGAGGCTTGACCACACGCCCCCGCTGAAGGACACAGGCGTGTCTGTGATCTGCAGCAGCAAATAAATGCCAGATGACTATTACTTCCTCCTGTTCCCTTCACGGGGTGTTACATGCACCACCAAGTACACCCTTCACTGAAGTTCGCTTTGGAAACAAAAGGCTTACAGTATACGCCGAACCAACTAGACACAACACAGATCACTCTGTGCGCATGTCCGTTTATAGTGTAGAGCTCATTGTTCTCTAGGCACGTAGTTATGCTTCCGATGCTGTCCACGCCATGTGCGCCTCTGCCTCTATTTGCAGGTTCTCATTCTATCTATGTGCAGCTTTCCTTCCGGGTCTGCCTCAGCTTTCTGTCCTGCTTACCGCTTTTTCAATGCTCCACCTATCTTCTCCTTCAAAAGGAGGCCTTCCCGAAAAAAGCATAAACAGGCAAACACCCAACGCCCACAGATCACTGCGCTCGTCACCCTCCACCCCATTTCGAATCTGCCAGGGCGATCGATAGTAGAGCGTTCCTTCCAAGACCGAACTAGGCGCCGCCTAGAATGGGAAGAAGAAACATATACAAATAAAGAAGAAAATTGGGAAAAACTGGAACATCTCCAGCCTCAGGACAGCAAAAGTTCTTCTTAATCCTGCGAATGTGAATCCTGCCCGTGAGAATGTTGAGCAAGTGCGCAAAGCGAGTCAAGGCACCGCAGGACATTTGGACAAATTAAAATGTTCAAGAACTCATTTACTGTTGTTGAAACCCAATGAAATCATCGTTCAATAGTTCACAAACGTATTTATGCAAAGTAATTTAGAAACCCCTTGCAGCCATCGACCCACACAAGCCAAATTTACAAAAGAAGCAAGAGACAAGTAACAGGAACAAGCTCACACGCGAAGACCAAAAGACCCGTAATGAAACAGATTCACAAAAACAAAGGAGAAAAGATATATCAAGACACGCAACGGCAGACGCAAGAACAAACAACTGAAAGGAAGCAAAAAAACAGCGAGCCACCAACCTTCTGTAGCGACCTTCCCCGCACTATTTTTTTCGCCAATCCGAAGTCCGCCAGCTTCACTAAAACGTTTTTCCTTTTAAATTTATCGACAAGAGAGTGCGAAGAACTGTGAATGCTGTCTTTAAGCTGAGGTAAAGACAAGTTGCTTCGATTCCTGTCTATGTCCATGTCTTTGTCTGCGTGTGTTTTCCGGCCAACATCCCGCATGCTTCTTCTCTTTCTCATTACCATAGGCACTACAGAAAGGGCGCTCATGCTGCTGGTGATGCTGTTGGTGCTGCTGCTGTTGTGATTGCTGCTGCGAGCTCTGAAGCCAGCGCGCAGTCTATTCCCTGGTGCTGCCTCGCGCTCTTGCTGCTGCTGCAATGCGGCGAGCTGCTGCTGCTGCATCACCACCTGCTGCTCTTGCTCCTTCATCAGCTCCGCCTCCTCCTCCTCGCTGCTCTCGCCGTCCCCCGTTGCTTCCGAGTCATCGAGCTCAGCAACCAAAAGGATATTTTCCAACTTAATGTCGCAGTGTGCTATGTCCTTGCTGTGAAGATAGCGCAGCGCGCACAGCACCTGACCAGCTATCTGCGCAGCTACTTCTTCACTAACAAGAGGGCGAGCTGCAGCAGCAGCACCCCCTGCTGCAGCTCCAGGCGGCGATGACGGAGGCGTGGACAGTGCGGGGCCTCCGGCTACACCTGTAGCAGCTGCAGTTGCCGCAGCTGCTGCTGTTGCGGCTGCTGCTGCAGTTGCTGCTGCTGCTGCAGCGCCAGCAGCTACGGGACAAGAGCCTCGCATGCTGATGCCGACACGACTGCCAGACGGAGTGGCAGCGACGGGAGAGACGGAGCTAGTACTGCTGCTAGCTTCCAAGGAATTTGGCGAAGTTGCTGTCGTTGCGGTGCCTGCTGTGACTGCGATCCCTGTGGCTTCTGCTGACGAAGCCGGGGCAAAAGGGCCACTAACAGCGGCCCCGCCCTCTTGTTGCTGCTGCTGAAGAGCCTCGCTGTCGCCCATGAGGCAGAAGTTGACACTGCGCCTCTTCAGGCGCCTGTGTCTTCTTCGAAGCCGTCTGTCTAGCCACTGATGAAGGTCGCCACCATAACACGTTTCCGTCACCTGTACATACACCCCAACTTGTGCAGTATACTTCGATCAGTCTGCACAGGCAGCAGTAGTCGTGAAGGAAGATAGCATTTAGAACGGTACAACGAGCAAAGAACAGAACATGCGGGCAAACTGATGAGAATGCCACGTATATACACCGACACAGTCACTTTAGCATTAAAGACCCACAAAGAGGAAAAAGACTCATTGAATAGACACAAGGCCCAATGGGAAGACCCGGCAGTTCCTCCCGAGGTCAAAGAGAAGGAAAGGAAGCAAGAAAGCCGAAACATGCAACAAATGCAACATGAAACGAAGTCCCAGCCCTAGCCCCGGCCCACGCACGTGGTAAACAGCCGCTGGCTCCTCGAAAACTTCGAAAATGCGGACCACATTCGGGTGGTGAATTCGCCGCAAAAAGCTGATCTCGTTGCGCCATATGCGAACGCCCTCCGGCTGGTCTTTGCTGACGCACTTCACCACGCGGCGCACGCCCGACAAAATGTCCGTGGCCCGGTACACCCGGCAGCCAAAAGATCCCAGGCCAATCGTCTCGTCCAGCTGCAGCAGCAGCAGCAGCAGCAGAGCGGGATTCGTAGTTATTGTAGTAGTACAGATGAACACTTAAAAAGAGACTTCAGAACTGACACGGGAATCAAACGGAAAGGGCCAAATGGCCAAAAGCTGGCACTAATGCCACAGAACTCCAGCTGTGAACAGCACTCACGAATATGCCCAAAAAGGGTCACCAGGGAAAAGCCCAAGCCCACTCAAGTACAGCAGCAGCAGCAGCAGCAGCAACTGCAAGAAAACGGGAACTTCTCGTGGAGTATGCGGAGAGGGGCTGGCTCGCGGCGCACGTTTTAAAGGAAAGCAGCAAACGGGGAAGGAAAGACAGAAGTGAAGCGAAGCGAAAGGCAATGAAATGCAATTTTTGAAAGAATTAGACAAATAAAAAACCCACCGTGTAGCAAGAATTAATCGGAAGAGGAGAATTCCGAACTAACTGTTGCCGGCGAAGAACACAGCCTTCACTGCGCACTCGCTTGAGAGCCTCCGGCGGCTCTGCGAGGGAGTTGACAGGAATGCAATAACAACGAGACAAAAAAGTCGCAAATGAACTAGTCTATTTCACAAAAAGAAAAAGCTCAAAATTCCAAAATATAATATATATGTAAATGCTTATAATAACTGAAGAGTCGCACGGAGCCAAAGGTGCTGCAGTTGAAAAGAACCACAGACAGAAGAAACTATACGAAGACGGATACACGGAAAGCCACGACAGGCAAACCGAAACATCAAATGCTCTTTGGGGGAAACGTGGCAAAGTAAAAAGCAAAAAGGGACCAAATTTGGGATATATTTGTCTCAGCAGAGATAAAAAATGAGCATAATAAGCAGCGACACTCTACCAACCTGAAAGGTGAACAACGGCAAGGAGGGCAGATTGAAAGACGCAAAAGTTGCGACGACGTGGGAACTCAAAATGCCTCACCTCCTGGCTTTGCTTGGCCCCCATGTCCCATTATTAATGGCTGCAAGCCTCCAAAAAAACGTATTAAAAAGGCGTGAAAGAAAATGCCGCTCTTTCCGCGGGGCTAGAACGAACAAGACACGCAGAGCCTTGAAACAAAAGAGGGGGAGAAACGAAACATTCCCCGCGCACAAAAGTCCTCCACCCGCGACCTCCGGTGTGACCTCCGGTGTTTGCTGAACTGAATTAAACCAGAACGTCTCGACTTGCCCACTTAGAGAACCGGGGATGGACTTTCGAGCTACGGGCGTCGCCGTCTCCTAAAGCGGCTCCAGCAGTCGTCCTTGTTCAGGTCCTGTGTGCTTCTCAACAAACAAAAAACAAAAACTGAACTGATGTAGAGAGCCAGAGAAGGAAAGAAGGACAACTATCCGGCGATGGCAACCGGTGACGCGGCGAGCGGGAGCAGGGGCGAGGAAGCTGGGACCGTTTCGCTTCTGAAGAGAAGCAAATAGTTGATCCGCAATTATGGGAAGCTTTTTCAGCTCAAAGAACGTCAAAGCAGAGCAAAGAGCTGCAGTGTGAGCCTTCCATACGAAGAAGAACTGCAGCGAACAGGAGGAACAGGCAGCAGCTTCCTGGGCCTATTCGTCCCTTTCCCCCGATGTCTCGACAGTCAACAGTCTAAAAAAAACGTTTAAAAAGCAGCCCAAAGTAAAATAGATCAATTTAAAGGCTGATTGCAGTGTGGCCCTCAGTGCTCTCTATGCTGTTTTGGACCCGACGACACAGAGGGCCCCGTTGGCTCTCGTTGCAGCTCTTCAAACCTTGCCCCAAAGGTGGAACGACTACATGCATTTCGGTGAACACAAGCATTCAATTTAAGAACTTTATGTGTAGACTAGAGATTCCCAAGAGCTTCTTAACCCCATGTGAAGCCTTTAAATGGCGGAATAACTCTTGAACAAGCCTTCAAACTGCTGTGTGGCAATATGTAGAGGCGCAGCACCTTGGCCACGTGTGTTGCCTTCAGTCTGAAAGTAATGTCTCAAGCCTTTAGGTCTGAGATATAGACGGCGAGAATGCCCTGACGACTTGAGACACAACCCATGGGTCTAATGGCCCTGGAGGCCTGATGCTTGTTGTGGCTAACTGGGCTAGTGTCGCTGCTGAGAAAATGCTACATAGGCTAGATCTATCTAAAACGCCCTTTTAAACATTGAAGATATTAGGGGAAGGTGAGGGCCGTTAAGAAGCGACAGATCCACGGTGTCTTGCAAGCACGGGTGATGGAAGCATTAGGAGGAAGGCCCAGTATCAGCTGTGGATCTCCTTTTTGAGCCGAAGTTCGGCAAGCAATGTCATTAAAGGTAGGAGCATCGCAGGGCGTTTTCATTAACTATCGAGGCACCATGCTTGGGACCGCTGAGCCTTCACTGTCTGTGCGAAGGCCGCTGCAGCCGTCGAGCCCTGGGCTTATTAAGCCAGATCTGTGTTCAACAACTTGGTAGTTAGGAACTGCGAAGGCCTTGAGCATACTCACATGATGGCCGGTGACTGCTGAGGCTCCAAAATTTTCATCAACCTGAGTCTCTCGGAGTGAAGATTGCGCATCAGCTTTGGTAGGGGCGCAGCTCCAATTCTGCTCTTCCCAAGCTTTCCTGAGTTCCGTGTAGTACCGCTCGACTAGCTTTATGGTATCATCGCATGATACACCAATGAGCTAAGAGGTACTGAATTATGCCTTCACGCCGTATACAGACTTGGCTCTGGAAGTGTCACAAGTACTAGGAGCAGGAAAATTGCCCCTAATGGGATGGCTGTTTGGCCAACTAGAAAGCGCGCATGCCATGTAGTAGGAGGGAAACCGCAGTGTTGCGCTCCACTAACTACAGATCTTCATGGATCCGCTTGGGCATAGCTTTTGGAGGTCTTTTGAACTGGTATGGTGAACAAAAGAGAGCGCACTTTAGTCGTAAACAGAGACAGCTGTAAGCGCTGTACTAACCATAACTCACTTTGAGCGGAGGCTATCCGACAATGATGCAATCATCGTTAGCCGTGTCCATGTACTCCATCTTCAGATTGCATAGTACGTATAGGTGACGAGTTTTCAGCCTTTTGTGGATCAATGAAAATGCGAGGTGAATATTACGCGGGAGAGCCGTGCCACGAGGGGAATGTTTCGTTTCTCCCCCTCGTTTGTTTCAAGTCTCTGCGCGTTTTATTCGTTTTAGCCGCGCCGCAAACGCGGCATTTCCTCTCAGCCGTTGGACGAACCAAAACTCCGCATGGCAACTAGCTGTCAAGAGTTGAATGCCTCAACGGCTTCCCGAAGCTTCCCGGTATCGCATGTGCATACTTTACTAGAGATGTATGTGACATTCTCATCCTGGGCTCAGAGAATGCTTTCACCAGAGCTGCATTGCAGAGCAAGACACATGGAAGACTGTGACCCCTTCACCGCGGCACTATTCAACTACACATTGATACATTTTTGACTAATGATAGCCTGGTCACTCTTCAAATCAAACTCAGCAATATCTTTCGGTCCTTACTGGCCCAGGAGCTACGGTCGGAAACTACCGGCAGCGTGACAACCGATGCCTGAGTTGTCCAATATTATCACTTATTGCTGGCAGTTCATGGAAGCGGGCGCCGCCACCTCACTGCCAGAATCATCTAGCACGGTGGTGCATTCAAGCTGGGAAAACCGCACAGCCAAGCGGTACGCCGGCTTCTGCAGCCACATAGCTCTAACGCTACTTTCCGAGTTACCCAACCAACAAAGTTGTACAGGCTATACATAGATTCCGCGTTTCAGGAAATCACAGTGATTCGAAAAGAGCAAGAAACTATTAGTGTCCACACTTAGATCACGAGCTCAGGCAAAATGCTATTTCTGCGCAGGGGAAACTGTTAATCTTGGGACGAGGCTATCCGGACTCCTGTCTACCATAGACCTGAAGCCTCATCACATGTGCGTAAAGAGGTTTTAGGGCGCTCACAGGCTACATGCGTTGGGAGGTGCGGCGATTAGCAATGCGTCTACTTCTGCGAACGGCAAGCTCCTCCTAGTCGTTGCAGGTGCGGTTTCTCGCCTCGGAAAAACAAAGGCCCCCGAATACAGTTGTATGTCGCAAGTCCCCAACCTTATAATGCCTGTGTGGGAGTACTGCACTTCGCTAGGACAAAAGAACAGAAGAATCTGCTGTACCGTGTGCCGTGTAGCTGTGGATGTCTTAACGATATTCCCGCGGGAATAAGTAGCCTCACTCATGTGCTGGGTTGGTGGCCCGACTCAAAACATGGCGAGTTGTCTGCGTTTGTGTCGGAGACAGGAACTACTCAAAACGTGGAATAGAATGGACGCTGCATGATGTTATATTTTATGCCAGGCAGGGGTCGGCAGCGCCACTTAAGTATGCTGCTTGCCGCATATCTCAAGACGAAAAGCACGCCGAGAAGTGGGCGCGTCGCAAAATTCATTTGTGCGTGGAGAGCTGACAAGATTTAGTCGGAACGCTCAATTTAGCAGTAAGACAAAAGCTAGGGGAAGGCGACCGCGTTGAGGCGCGGCGAATTGTATGAGCAACCGCAATGCGCATCACTTCATTGTAGCCCAGAAATGGCCTCGAGGTCCTATGCTTCAGAATATGCATTTATACAGAGTAACCAGAAGTCGTTACAATTTGGAGAGATTCTGCCACGGGGTGATTAGGCCCAGTTTGTTTTGCATCGGGGCCCATGGCTTGGGGCTGGAGAAAGGCACTGAGGTTGTAGAGCGCAGCACAGCCACACAGGGACGGGGAAAGATGGGAGAAGCCACAGATTCGTCCTTTTAGAAAATTTGACCTCAAGTGAGGATATTTTGACATTTTCGTGCTCAGCAGTGCCTTCAGAAGGCAGTGTTGCTTAAGGAACAACAGGAGAAACACGTTGGAGCCAAGTTACGCTTAACTTAGCTATCAGAGAATATTTGAGCTTGACCTAAAGACATTTGTCTGTTAAACATGGTATTAATCGCGTCGAGGTGCGCTTCGGAAGCTAGTGTACGCGAGTGCCGACTTTGAGAGGTTCAGAAGCAGGATATGCTAATCAGGGTAGACTGGAGCGTGTAAATGGGTTCCGCGCTTTATCATGCTGCCCACGTTGTAGAGAAGAAGGCCTACAACGTTCGTTCCGTGAAAGGGTTTGATGCATGCGACTGAACTCACGCACAGATGCAGTGAGCTTGGATCTCTTTCCATACCAGCTTTAGTCGCGCTGTTGCTGCCGCTGAGAGCCGTTGTGTAGCAGGAGCAGCAGCTGCTGCTGCTACTCTTGCATCATGTGAGAGGTTTTCAAAGCTGCTGTGCTGCTGTGGGGCAGGCCGCGTCTGAAAGATGTGATGGGAAACTGGCCTGTTCTTACCGCGTCTGAAATTTAGGGTTGGGGAAGCTGTGGTGCTAGCGACTACTGTAGTGCCAGGCACTACAATTGACCTTCGTCGCCACCCCTCGAGGCTTAGTAACGCGAAAGGGCATGAATAATATAGAATATTTTAAGGTATAAGGCACCATTGGATATAAGGAAATCATAAAAGGGAATAGTGTGCTCGCTAGCCAGCACCGGGTATGGGGCTGGATGCGAGGTTGGTGCCGTGACTCAGGCACTGACCCTCAGCGAGGGTCAACAGTCAGTTCTATTATTTTGGGTTTTTCTTACCTCTCAATAGTATGCACTCAGCTGTATATGGCCATTTAGGCTATACAGTAGTAGTTGGCGAGAATCATGGATTTTAGATAGTAGATGCAGAGTGTGCACTTAGTCAGACTAGCCCAGGGGCCATACGTAGTAACAGTGCAGGCCAGCTGTTCACTACAACTACTGCGCAGAGGCTTCTTAGCCTTGTCTACTTGTCCACCTGATCTCAACCTTAGTATCTTTGCAGGTGAGTAACCAACTAGCGGAAGAAGCCCAATATTCTAGATGTGGAAAACCGAAAGTTTTGACTGGGGCCTGGGTTCAGCAAGAGGGAGAAAGGGGCCCTGAACATCCAGTGCGGCCGCACACACATTTCACCCTGGGGCCAAAGAGGTGCCAACCTTTATCTTTCCAGATTACCTTTGCTGCTAAACAGCTGAACCCTCTTTTTAGAGATATTCAGTAAACTAGACACTGTCTCCACAGTTAGAGCAATTACATCAAACTCTTCGCCGAACTGATTTCGGCAGCCGAATACCCAAAGAGGCCACAAGCTATATAGAGCTTCACCTGCATAAGCCCCACAAGTATTTGCTCAAACGCAGCTAGGCTTCCCCCAACCTCTCCCCAGGAGGTCCCGTGGGATTCCTCAGCCCCGAAACCAGTCCAGTGCCTACCCGAAGACTCAGCAGCGGCCCCCGTGCTGTGTGGTAGAGAGCAAATAAGTCCTCCTTTTTGAATATTATTATCTTGAACTACCTCCCAGACCCTTTGTACCCTAGCTGCTGTCCAGCGCGCCTGTGCCTCCCCGCAGCAGCTCCCCCCCAATAACAAAGGCACTCCCGCAAAGGCCCTCCCGCCCTGAGCCCCGGCCTCAGGGGCCTGCCCTGGGGGGCCTATAAGGCACTCAGGGGCTAACTAATGGCCCCTAGTTGGGCCAATTTTTGTGCGGATTAGAACCATCCAAACTGTCCGAGCCATTAACCCTACTTGGCTTCTTCTGGGCTTCGCGAACACCACACTGAGAACGAGATCGTTCTTGCGTGTGCCGCCGGGCCCAGAAATGAGCCAAGTGGCGCTGCTAATGCTGCTAATGAAACAATTTGTGTGTAATCTACAAGGAAAATTGCCCGAAGTAGGGGCCTGAGTCAGTGTTTGAGCGCCTCCTTAGGAATGCACAAGGCAGCTGGGAGCGCAGGCACAGTGACGAGGCGAAAAGAATCGAAAATCGGCTCCCGGGAAACAAAGATAGGACAAGGCTTTCCCTTCGAGTCCAGCTGTTAAACTTCGAGGCTTTAGAGCAGCAACAGCGAGTCAAGCGGCGCTGGAGCGGCAGCAGCAAAGCCGCTGCGGCCGCAGCAGCAGCTCACGTTGCCACGGGGCCTGCAGCTTTCGCTCTGCGGCCCACAAAGCACACAACGGACTGCCAGAGAAGCCACAGACTGCAGCTGCGCGCGGGAGGTTTGAGTGTGGCTGGCTGCGCCGACTGTCGGCTGCCTGGCGGTCTGGTGTTCAGGATTTGCTGCTGCGGGGAGGCGCAGGCGCGCCCCACAGCAGCTAGAGTACAAAGGGTCTCGGTGTGAATTCAAAAGAATAAAACCCGAAGTCGAGGGCTTCTCTGCAGCTGCTGCTGCTGTCGCTGCGCGGCTTTATGCAGCTGCCGGGGCCCCACGGCTGCTTGCTGCTGTTGCTGCTGCTGTGCTGCTGCTGGCTGCTGAAGGAAGCATGCAACGCACAGGGTCCCCCTTTCCCGCTATTTCTGTTTATTTCTTATAGAAGAGGAAAGGATAGAAGCGACGGGAGGCTACTGACTGGCTGCAACAATCCCAGGCTTAGCTAGGCTGCTCGGCTCTGCGGCGCTGCTGCTTCAGCAGCAGTTCCTCCGCGGCAGCAGCAGCAGCAGCAGCAGACAGCGTTAAATAACGCCAAACGATGCATTTCAGGAGCTGCATCAGCAGATCTGAGCGGCCTGGGACTCCTCATGCGGGCTGGCAGCAGCAGCAGCAGCGCCAGCAGTAGTAACAGCGAAGCAGCGGCAACCGCAAACAGCCAGCCAGCTACCCGTTCATGCCCAAAGCTCCTGCCTCGAGAAGACAGCAACAGTTTGAGACTGCTGCGGCCGCCGCTGCGGCACCTTCTTGTGCTGCAGCTGCTGCATCCTCTAAAGCGCGGTCCCAGTGCAGCGAGCAGCAGCAGCAGCACCAGCAGCGGCAGCAGCAGCAACGCATTTGCCCGTCAGAATCTGCACGGGCTCTAATGGCGGATGAGGGATCTAGTGGGCGGCAGCAGCCGTTGCCTGCTTCTGCAGCCGAGCCTGCAAGTCCAGCAGCAGCGCCGGGCAGCAGCGCAGGTGAGGGATCCACTGCAGCAGCAGCAAGGAGTGGAGGAGCGTTCCCAGCCGCAGCTGCCGCCGCAGCAGCAGCAGCCGCGGCTGCAGCGGGCGCTGCTGCGCACTGGCCGAGCAGCGGGGAGAGCAGCAGGAGAGAGGAGCTGCTGCAGCTGCTGCGCAGCAGCAGCAGCACGAATGGGCTGCCCGGAGCGGCGGCAGCGGAGCCGGCGGCCGCCCCCGAAGACAGCAGCAGCAGCAGCGACGCAGCAGCAGCAGCAGCAGCAAGCCCCCCCGGGGAGCCGCTGGAACGCGAAGCAGAAGCTGCCAGAGAACGCATTTTGGAATGTCTTTCTGCTTCTCGAGTTGCAGAAATTGCTCCAAGTTGCTGCAAACAAATAGTTCTAGAAAGTCGCCTGGAAGTGCACACGGCCTTCACGGCCCTGGCCCAGTTTGGCTGCTCCTCGCTGCTGTGCTGCAGCGTGCTTCCCTCCGACCCGCTGCAGCAGCAGCAGCAGCAGCAGCAGCGGCAGACTCCGCGGCTGCAGCAGCCGCAGAGGGGCAGGGGCGAAGCCAGCACCAGCAGCAACGACGAGGCCCCGAGCGCCACGCCCACCAGCAGCAGCAGCAACAGCGGCAGCAGCAGCAGCGGCAGCTGCAGCAGCAGCAGCGCCCAGTCGCCCCCCCCCTGCTGCGGCAGCCCCGCCCAGGGCCGCTGCTGCAGCTGCCGAGGGGTTTGGGTCTATTCAGAAACAAACAGGCGCTTCATGAGCAGGCTGGACTCGCAGCACTTCGCGCGCTATTTGCTGCACTGGCAGCGGTGGCTGCGCAGCAGCAAGCAGCAGCAGCAGCAGCAGCAGCAGGACGGGGCGCCAGAGGCGCAGAAAGCGGCAGCCAGCAGCAGCAGCAGCAACTCTGCTGCTGATTCCGAAGCACCGAACAACAACAGTGACGCTAGTGAGGTCGAGACCACAGTCAGCGGCAACAACGGCAACAGCAACACAAACAGCAGCAACAGCAGCACCAGTAGTAGCAGCAGCAGCAGCAGCATGCAGCAGGGAGAGAACGCACCCGGCGAAGCTGTTGGTGCTTCTTTAGGCATTAAAGACTCGACGCCGCCGTGGGCCCTTTCTTTGGAGGGGTTTGGTCGTGAGTGCTGCTGCTGCTGCTGCTGTCCTGCTGCTGCTGTGCTGCTGCTGCTGCTGCCGCTATTCCAGCTGCTGCTGCTGTACTGCTGCTGCTGTTGCTCTTCTTCTTGCTGCTGCTGGTCTGCGGCAAAACTTGTAAATTGCGTCTCCTGCTGACAGTGCCCTTCTGCTTCCGCGACGAGCTGTTGCTGCTGCGCGAAGCCCGGCTTAGCTGCGCAGCAGCAGCAGCAGCAGCAGCAGCAAGAGCAGCAGCACTAACAGCAATAGTGACAACAGCAGCAGCAGCAACCACGCCTAGTTTGTGCTCTCTGGGGCATTTTCAGGCCCATGCAGCAGCTGTGCTCGTTGCTGCATGCGGCCATGCCCTTCCTGCTGCTGCTGCTAACACCACATTTGCTGCTGCTGTTGCCGCTGCAGGTATATGCGGCGGCTCTGTTGACGAAGTCCAGCGAGTCATGCCGGACTGCGACTGCGCAACTGCCCTGTTGCATCTCTTAGACAGCGGGTACGCAGCAAGAGCAGCAGCAGCAGCAGCAGCAGCAGCAGCAGCAGCAAAAGCAAAATGCGACTTTGCGCGCAGGGCCCCCTACCTGTGCATCGTCAACGAGGGAAGAAGGGCCCCCTTGGCCCTCGTCTCTACCCATGCTTTTCTTGTGCACCTTGTCAGAGAGGCAAGCAGCAGCAGTAGCAGCAGCAGCAGCAGCAGCAGGAGTTGCTTGCTGCGTCGTGCCAAGTAGCGTTGCTGTTTTAGCTTCTGTGTTTCCTGTGCTCTGCAGCTCCAAGGGGCTCACCCGATTCTGGCAACGAATGTCCTAGCTGCCAAAGTGAGCTGCTGCTGCTGCTGCTCCTGCTCCTGCTCCTGCCCCTGTTCCTGCTGCTGCTCCTGCTGCTGCTGCTGGTGCTGCGGGGGGATTCCTGTCTGTTGCAGCTACCTGTGGGCGTGTTGCTTCTGCCTTGGCGTGTCGCTGCTGTTTGCTGTTTCTGCTGTTTCGTTTCATTGCGTTCTTTTTCCTGCTGCTGCTGCTGCTGCGCTGCTGCTGCTGGTGCTGCTGCTGCTGCTGCGCGCAGCTGGGCACCCATGAGGACTTGGTGACGTTTTGCGTCGAGGACTCGACGGAGGACTTTTTGGCTGCTGCAGTTGCTGCTGGCTTTTCTTCTTTGCCGCTGGTGGACTCCACAGGTGGGCAAAGGACCTAAAAGTTGGCAGCGAATGAACCAAAATGCTGCCAAACTGCAGCAGCAAAAAGCAAAACAAACATTTCCACAGACTCCGCGAGGCAAAGTTGAACTGGAAAAAACGGGACAAAAGGATCTAAAAAGAGACAAAATTGACTCAGAAAAATAAATCAAACAAAAGAGATAAAATAAAACAAATGGAGGCAACGAGAAACAAAAGACTTTCAAATAAAGAAAAAAGAAATTGAGAGAGGCGAAAAACGCAGAGAGGAGACGTATTTGGCAGCAAAAATGAGCAGCAGCAGCAGCAGCAGCAGCAGCAGGGGATCGAGGAAGCTGCTGCTGCTACTTCTTTTGCTGCGCTGCAGGGGCCTACGTTTGTTGCTTTTCTCTTGACGATTTCCTAGCCGTTGTCTTCAAGCTGCTGCATGACGGGGTAAGAAGCAGCAGCAGTAGCAGCAGCAGCAGCAGCAGGAGCAGCAACAGCAGCGGGGAACACCAGGGGCAGAGGGGCAGAAGGAGACACAGAGATTAACGAACAGCAAAGGCAAAACTACGCAAAGGAGGCTTTGGATGAAAATACCGCGTGAGGAAGCTTTGCTGCTGTTGCTGCCACTGCTTTGCTGCTGCTGCTGCTGCTGCTGCTGTGTGTTTGCAGGTTCCCCTAGACCTCACGCTGCCAGTGTCGAGGTACGTGCAGCAGTTCCATCAGCTGCAGTGGCAGCACCGCATGCTGGCGCATGCAGCAGCAGCAGCAGCAGCAGCAGCAGGCAGCGATATCCAGCTGCTGCCCTCCAGCAGCAGCAGCAGCGGCAGCAGCAGAAGAAGCGCAGCAACTGCAGCAGCCCTCTGCCGCCTCACAGCAGCAAACGGCCCGCAGCCCATCTACCAAGGGGTGGTGAGTTCTTTCGGTATTAGCAACTGCAGCAAACCCTCTGTTCTCTCTCCGCAGCAGTAGCAGCAGCAGCAGCAGCGGGAAGTCTAGTTGGGGCTGCTGCATTGTGTGCTACTGCTGCTGCAGGTGAGGGAAGCAGCAGCAGCTTTTTTGACACTGCAGCAAGCGATTGAGCTGCTGCTATTTGCCGACGAGAAAAAGATTCTCTTCTTATCGGAGCAGTGAGCAGCAGCAGCAGCAGCAGCAGTAGCAGCAGCAGCAGCAGCAGCTTTCTTTCTGGCTTCCTTTATCTCTTCTGTTTGTGTGCTCCTGTTCGTTTTTTGTCTCTTTTTATTTCTTTTTTTAAAATTCCTTTTCTCCATTTTTTGTTTCCCTTTTGTTTTTTTATTTTTTTGTTTCATCTTTTTATTTTCGATTTTTTTCCGCTACTTGTATCTGCATTTATTGAGCCTTTTGCTTCTATTATTACTGTTCACTTTCTTTTTCCAGTTTTTTATTTTTAATTTATTTATTTTTTAATTTTAAATTTAAAAATTTTAAATTCTAATTTTCGTTTTCCACTTGGGTTCCCACATTCTTTTTGAATTTTTGCATTTTGCTTTCATGAATTCTCGGAACTTGCACTTCCGGATTTTTCGAAATTTCCAAATAAATGCTCAGATGTTTTTCATCTTTCATATAAAATCCAACTTTTCTTTTTGCTGCAGCAAAAGTCTTTCTTGCTGCTGCAAAGTCCTTTTTGCTGCTGCAAACGACATTTTTGCTGCTGCAGCAAGTTGGAACTTAGAAAAGTGCATTTGACTTCTTGCATTTGCATTTTTGAATTTTTTGCATTGCTTGAAATCTTTTGCATTTAGGCTTTTGAAAATGCATTTTTGGGAACTCTTGTCTTCATTTTGGGTTTTTTAAAATGCATTTTTTGTCTTTTTGCCTTTTTTGCATTTTTCGAGTTTTTGAATTTTTTGAATTTTTGAAGTTTTTGAATTTGGGAATTTCTTTTGACCTGATGAGCTTTTTAATGGAGTGTACATGGAGTCTAGATCGAAGCAGCACTTGCTGCAACAACGCGTGCTGCAGCAGCACTTGCTGCAGCAGCACTTGCTGCAGCAGCACTTGCTGCAGCAGCACTTGCTGCAGCAGCACTTGCTGCAGCAGCACTTGCTGCAGCAGCGCTTGCTGCAGCAGCACTTGCTGCAGCAGCATTTGCATGCCTTGCTTCCATTCTTTTGGCCGCACGCATCCCGTCTGAGCCCCCAGTGACTTGCCATTTGCTGCGGCTGTTTGCTGCAGCTGTTTGCTGCACTGCATGCACATTATATGACTGGCTGCATGGTTAGCTGCTAGCTAGCCACACAGCTAGCTAGCGGGGCCTCCTGGCGAGCCACCAGTGTCGGTGCATGCGGCTGGCTAGCTAGCCAGCTAGCTGGCCATCCATCCAGCTAGCTAGCTGGCTAGCTAGCTGGGCAACTATTTGGCTAGGAAAACAGACAACTAGCTGGTTACGAATGTGGCTAGCCCTGCAACTGGCTAGCTAGCTAGCTAGCTAGCTAGCTAGCTAGCCAGCTAGCTAGCTAGCCAGCTAGCTAGCTAGCCACGCTCTCAGCTAGCTGGCTAACTGTGTGACTAGCTTTGTGGCTAGCTGTGTGGCTTGCTGGCTGACTAGCTAGCTAGCTAGCTAGCTAGCTGGCTAGCTAGTCAGCCAAATAGCTAGCTAGCTAGCTAGCTAGCTAGCTAGCCATGGTAACAGCTAGCCGTAACTGTGTGGCTGCCTGCGACTATTTGTCTCCTGCAGGGGCCGTCTGACGGGAGTCTTGACCTGCGCTGATGTGTGGCGCTTTCTCCTTCCGAGGGGCGCCGCTGCTGCTGCTGCTGCTGCAGAGCAGCAGTAGCAGCAGCAGCACAGCCACCTAGGAGCTACGGGAGCCTCGCGGCGCTGCAGCAGCAACTCAAGGGACTTCTTTCCCCAGGCGCTGCCTGCTTTCTCTGTCAGCATTGCCAGCATAAATAGTTGTTAGCAGAGGGGCTGCAGCAGCGAGTGCAGTGAGTAGCAGCAGCAGCAGCAGCAGCAGCAGCAGCAGCAGCAGCAACAGCGCCAGCAGCAGCAGCAGCAGCAGCACCGCCAGGTGTAGTTCTACAGCTCCGACAAGCCCGACCGAGACCCTTATCTTTGATAGATAGGAGACAGATTCTTTGTCTCTTGCTTAGGTGCTGCCAGCAGTAGGAGCAGCAGCAGCATTAGCAGCAGCAGCAGCATGTTGCTGCGACGGTAGCACTAGATATTGCAGCAGCAGCACCGCTAGATGTTTGCTGCAGCCGCAGCGAGAAGTCTTGCTTCAGCAGCAGCATGCTGCTGCAAGGGCAGCGTAAGGTGCTGCAGCAGCAGCATCTCACGCCGCAGCGGCAGCAGCTCTAAAGGCTGCTGCAGCACTTGCTCCGGAAGCTGCTGCCAGAGCAGCACTAGGTGCCGCAGCAGCAGCAGCAGAACTAGATGCTGTTGCAGCAGCAGCAACACTAGACGCCGCTGCGAGAGCAGCGTTTGGCGCTGCTGCGGGAGCGTCAGCAGCAGCAGCAACAGCAGCAGGTCGTGCTGCAGCAGCAGCGAGTGTGTGCTGCAGCAGCAGCAGCAGCAGCCGCAGGATAGCTAGGGCCTCGCTGTGAGGTGTACTGACAGCTGAGCACATTTGACAGCCCTCTATACTTCTCTTGTTTCCTGCGGGGCCGCAGCAGCAGCAGCAGCAAGCTGTGGTGCGCCGCGGTGCAGCGGCGCCGCAGGGCGCGCGCCTGCATGCACTGCGGCAGCAGCAGCAGCAGCAGCAGCAGCAGCAGCAAAGACAAACCTGCATCAGCGGGACGCTCTCGAGAGGCGGCTCCACAGTCAGCCCGTTCCTCTCCAGCCAAAACGCGGGGCCTTCTGGCAGCTGCAAACCCCACACACACATGCGCCTGCGGGGGCTGCATGCATGCGTGCATGCATGCGTGCATGCATGCGTGCATGCATGCGTGCATGCATGCATTCTTGCATGCATGCATGCGGAGGCGCATGCGCTCGTGCTTTATGCGCCAGTGCACGCGTTGCATGCATAAGGGCCTGTGTATGCATGCATGCATGCAGAGGACGGTGCATGCATACGTAGAAAGGTGCATGCGTCTGTGCATGCATGCATGCATGCATGCATGCAGCTCTCTAGCGGGCAGCTCGGGGCCGCCAGAGTTTGAAGTGCATGTTTCTGCGAGGTGTCGATACACCTCAGGCCCCATTTGTGTAATTGTGTACTTTTGAAGCGCATGCATGCGAATAAATATAAATATGAATATAGAAAAATATTGAAAATATAAATAAATACAAATAAGTATAAATAAATGCAAACAGGTCTACAAGAGACTTAGTGCTATTATTGCAAAGCTCTTAGGGATATAGCTGCTGCCGCGCGCTGCCAGCTTGTAGGGTAGGACGGAATGCAAGTGCAAATGCATGCAAGTGCATGCAAATGCATGCAAATGCATGCATTTGCATGCGCGTGAGTTTGGGGCTGCAGCAGTTACGCACTTGGGGAAACTGCAGCGCGGCGTCGAAGCAGCGACGGGCCTCCCACATGCGCTGCAGCAGCAAGCGCAGCGCAGAAGCCCTGCTGCAGCAGCAGCAGCAGCAGCAGCAACAGCAACAACAGCAAGAGCACCAGCAGCAGCAACGACGAAGGCAGTGGTGCTAGCAACTGCAGCGGCAGAAGCAGAAGGAGCAGCTGCTCTCCTTGCCTGCAGCAGATGCTCTAAGGCGACTACCAGCTTCTTGCTGCACCCAGACACAGTAGCAGCAGCAGCAGCAGCAGCAGCAACAGTTGCAGCAGCATCCCAGTGGTATGTTAATCAAAGCATTAGCAGCCATCGAGCAAGAAAGCAGCAGCAGCAACGACAGCAGCAGCAGCAGCAGCGACGCTGATAACACCAGCACCGACAGGAACAGCGACGCCAGCAGCAGCAACAGCAGAGGCAGCAGCGGCAACACCAAAAGCAGCAGCAGCAGCTGCTGCTGCAGCTGCCCATACTTGTCCTCGAGGTCTAACTTGACTCTAACTCGGGGAACCTCCCTCAAAACAATGCGCGCTGCAAAAGGACAGCACAATGCACTGGATCTGCTGCTGCTGCTGCCGCTGCTGCTGCTGCTGCTGCTGCTGCTGCTGCTGCTGCTGCTCGCACCTCGCAGGTAGGCTCTGATTACTTGGGAGCAGAGCTGCTTGTAGTTTGCTGGCAGCCGCAGCTCAAAAAATATGACTGTCTCCGCGAGCTCTATGGCATCCTAGCAGCCGCAGCAGCACCACCTAGGGTTTAGGGTTCAGGGTTTAGGGTTTAAGGTTTAGGGTTTAGGGGCGCATGCGTGGGCTGCCTGTCCGGACGGCAGCACAGCGCCTTCAGAGGGTTTTCTCCGCAGCAGCAGCCGCAGCAACAGCAACAGCAGCATATGCTAAGCAGCAGCGTACACAGCCGCTGTCGCAGCTGCAGCAGCAGCAGCAGCAGCAGCTAGGCTGATACTTTAGGTATGTCTCTGTCTTTCCACTCAGGGCGAATTGTCCCCATCAGGTCCTGCAGCAGCAAAGAAGCAACACAGCCGTTTACGCGCAACAGCCGAGGCAGCAGCAGCAGCAGCAACAGCAGCGGCAGCTGTAGCAGCAGCAGCAGCAACAGCAGCGGCAGCTGTAGCAGCAGCAGCAGATTCTACCAGGAGCCGCAGCACGAATTCTTCCTCGGCTTTTCTTTTCGAAGCGAACTCCTGAGGAGCAAAATAAATAAAATAATTCCTTACCATAACAAGTCAACAAATATAAATAAATAAATAAATAAATAAATGAATAAATAAGTAAATAAGTAAATAAAAAATAGTTAGTGGGATAAACAGGCTCTGTTTCCTCTTCAAATCAGAGCATTATTTGCTGCAGTGACTCTTCACCTGACTGCAACAGCAGCAGCCGCAGCAACAACAGCAACAGCAGCAGCAGCAGAAACAGCGACAGCAACAGCGATAGCAACAGCAGTAGCAACAGCAAGAGCAACAGCAGCAACAGTAGCAGCAGCAACAATAACAGTAGCTGCAGCAACAATAACAGTAGCTGCAGCAACATCAGCAATAACGTGGCAGCGATTGTAGCAGCAGCAAGGTGGCAGCAGCAGCAGCAACAGTGGCGAAATCACCAGCAGCAGGAACAGCAGCAACAAAAGCATCAACAACGGCAGCAACAACAGCGGCACCAGTAGCAGCGAAAGCTGCAGCAGAAACAGCAGCAACAGCAGCAACAGCAGCAGCAGCAGAAGTAGCAGCAAAAAGGGCAGCAGAACCAGAAACAGGAGCAGCAACAGCAGCAGGGCCAGTAGTAGCAGCAGCATGGATCTTAGGATAATGAATTAAAGAAGAAAAAATATACAAAAGGACAAAATAAGTCAAAAATAAATAAAAAGATGAAATAAACTTTATTTAAAATTAAAATAAAAGAAAAAATTCTTCTTGGTGCTCACCTCTTCTGCTTCGCAGCGCGTTATTTTGGCCTCTGCGTCCTGCAGCAGCAGCAGTAGCAGCAGCAGCAGCCATAGCAGCAGCCAAAGCAGCAGCAGCAGCAGCAGTAGAAGCAGCAGTAGCAGCAGCAGCAGCAGAAAGCGGGGAAATAAGGAACTGTCCAGGGAAAAGAAGCGAGACTGAATCTGAATTCGCAGCGAGGCTGCTGCTGCTGCTGTTACTGCTGCTGTTGCTGCTGCTGCTGCTTACGGACAGCAGCGCAGCAGCAATTTGAGAGAAAGAAAAGCTTTTGAAGTCTTTTTAGAAAGGCAAACGTTATTGAAGGCTTTTAAATCTTTTAAAAGAAAAAGATATTTTAAAGACTAATAGGACTTATTAAGGAAATAAAACTTAATAAATTAATTAATTTTATTTAAAGAAATAAATATTTTATAAATTGGAGAAGTCTGTTTATAAAATAAACATTTTAAAGATGAATAAAGTCTTCTTAGATAAATAAATAACAATGAATATTGATTAATATATTGTTAGAAATAGACGTTTAAATTAATAAATTATATTTACAGAATAAATATTTTAATTAAAAAAATATATTTAGAGAAATAGACCTTTTATAGGCCAGGTGTACAGACACCTGAATTCTGGGGGCCGCCGGCGCCACTTCTGGAATTTTCACTTTCTGCAAATTGCCATTTTCATTTAAATAAAGACTTTTGCAAATTTTAAAAAGTATTTCAGCATTTTAAATCAAAAGTGGCAATAAAATGGTACTTTTAAAGCTGCAATTGCTTCAAAAAATTGAAAAAATCCAACAAACAGACTTTTTCGGATTCTGTAGTGCATGCCTTTTCTCATTTGCTGCGGTGTACATACACTCCACAGTGGCTCTACTGCTTTCTTTCTAATTTTATGACAAATTAAGTTCCCAAAACTTTTAAAACGCAAAATGCTTCCAGCAGCATTTAAAGAAAAATATTCTCGACAAAAAAGCAAAAACACTTTTCCTTGTTGCAACCCCACAGGCGCCTTCGGAGTAAAAAATAAACTAACAGTGCAGGCAACAGCAGCAGCAGCAGCAGCACGGCAGCAACAGCAGCAGCTATAGTAGCAGCAGCAATAGCAGCAGCAGCAGCAGCAATAGCAACAGCAGCAGCAGCGATAGCACGGCAGTAGCAGCAACAGCAGCGGCAGCGGCAGCAGCAGCAGGAGCAGCAGCAATAGCAGCAGCAGCAGCAGCAGCAGCGGCTCACTAGGAGCAGGACGAGGGGCAGCAGCCGCTCGTTTGCTGCAGCATAAAGTCTCTTTGCAAGATTTGCTTCCGTTTCAATCCAAAGTCCATCTAGCTGCTGCAGCCGGGACTTGAGCTGCCCCAGAAACCCCACAAGGCCCCCTGCGAAGTTACTGCTGAGGCCTGCTGCTGCTAGCTGCAGCACAGCTGCTGCGCTGCTGCGCAGCAGCAGCAGAAACAGCCTGCAGCGCTCACAAACTTCCAGCGGCAAACAAACGCTTAGTCCGTCTAGCTCCAGCCTGCAGCTGCTGCTGCTGTCGCTGCTGCTGCTGCCGCTGCCGCTGCTGCGGTGCGTGCTGCTGCCGGCTTCTGCTTCCTGCTGCTGCAGCGCGTCGCTGAGCCAGCCCCCAAAAGCACGGCCTGCTGTTGCTGCTGCTGCTGCGGAAGGCCCTTGCTGTTGCTGCGCGGCGCCCAAAAGCTGCCCGTCTTCTGGAGCAGCAGCTGCAGCATCTGAGGCCTGCCTCACAGCAACAGCTGCAGCAGCAGCAGCAGCGCCGTCTGCCTCGCCCCCCGCTGCGTCGCCTGCTGCTGCTTCTGCTGCTGCAGCAGCAGCAGCAGCAGCAATCCGCCGCACGTAACGCAGCACGTACAGCGGATACCCAGAAGGGCAGTACTGCGGAGAAGGCGCCAGCAGCTCCGGCGCCCACAAAAAGCGGTAGTCCTTTGGCTTCGAGGCCTAGCAGCAGCAGCAGCAGCAGCAGCAGCAGCAGCAACAGCAGCAGCAGCAGCAGCAATAACGACAGCAGCGAGGGCAGCAGGAGCAGTAGCAGCGACGGGAACTGCTGCTGCTGCGCTTGCTGATACTAATAGCAGCCCCAAAACTAGCAGTAGAAAAAGCAAATCTAGAAGCAGCAGCACCAAATCTAGCAGCAGCAGTAACACTAACACACGCAGCAGCAGCAGCAGCAGCAGGAAGCCTAACAGCAGCTAACTTTAAGTTCATCGGCCAGACGGCCCAGGAGGTGCAGCAGCAACCCAAATCTCCTCATGTCTTCTTCATCGTCTGCTTGCTGCTGCTGCTGTTGCTGCTGTTGCTGCTGCTGCTGCTCGCTTTCCTGCTGCTCTTCCTCTTGGTGCTCATCTTCCTGCTGCTCGTCTTCCTGCAGCTCTTCCGCCTGATGCTGCTGCCCCTGCTGCTGCTGCAGCTCCTCTTGCTGCTGCTGCTCCTCCTCCTCCTCTCCCCCCTGCTGCTGCTGCTGCTGCTGCGTGGGCAGCAGCAGCACGCGGTCCAGCAGCAGCGGATCTTTGTTTGCTTCCAACACCAAATTCTTCAGCAGCAAATACTGAATTGTTTCTTTAAACCGAATTACTTCGGGGGGCCCCAGCCGCCGCTGCTTCTTCTTCTTCCCCTTCGTAGGCCCCGCCATTTTTCCAGCTACAAACCCTAAACCCTAAACCCTAAACCCTAAACCCTAAACCCTAAACCCTAAACCCTAAACCCTAAACCCTAAATTCTTGACCTTAAGACCTAAACCCTAGGCCCTGTACGTTAGACCCTTAGCCCTGAACTCTAAATTGTAAACCCTGAAGACTATACTCTAATTCCGAGGCCCCAAACCCTAACTCTAAACCCTAAACACTAAACCCTAAACCCTAACCCCCTGGGAACTGTCGATTCGGGGCCACTGTAGGCCCCGAATCGACAGTAAAACCCTCGCAGCAGCACAGAAGAGGCAGCAGCAAATCCTTTATCTCTTTTTGTTTCTTTTCTGTCTTTTCCTAATTTCTTTTTGTCACTTTTTATTTTCTTTTTTATTTCTTTTTTGTTTCTTCCTAATCTTTTTTCTTTTTATTTTATTTCTCTTCTTTTTGCCTTCTGTTTGTTTGCTTCTTGTCTCTCATTTCTTTTGAATCTGCTTATGTCCTTTACTCTGAAAGCAGCAGCAGCAGCTGTTGCTGCTGCTGCTGTTGCTGCTGCTGCTATTTTTGCTGCTGCCGTTGTTGCTGCTGCTGCTGCTCTGCATTACGCTTGTCTCCTTGGCAGCTGCTGCTTTTGTCCTGTATATTAAAGCTTCTGCTTCCTTTTTCAGCAGTCTCTGTCTCGTTCCTACTCCACTGCTGCTGCTGCTACTGCTGCTGCAGTTGCTGCTGCTGCTGCTGCTGCTTGTTTTTGTGTGCGCAGCAACAGCTTGCCTGTCAGAGCCTCAGGCTAACGCATAGCTAAGGCCTTCTTCTAAGCCTCTCTGCCCCCGCAGCAGCAGCAGCAGCAGCAGCTACAGCAGCAGCTGCAGCAGCTACAGCAGCAGCTGCAGCAGCAGCAGCAGCTACAGCAGCAGCAGCAGCAGGAGGAAGACGCTCTACAGTCACCAACCCAGCTGCCTTGGCCCTTCGTGTCTCTGCGGCGCCACAGCAGGGCTGCTCTTTTTTCTCCCGGTGATCAAGGCAGCCAAAATCAGCAGCAGCAGCAGCAGCAGCGGCAGCAGCAGCTTTTTACTATGCTCTGTACCTACAGCTCCTTAGCGTCACCTCGAGCCTGCTCCAGGAAGCAGCAGCAGCTCTTCTGCACCTTCTTAGCTCTGTGTCAAGCGCAGCTTCACTGCAGCAGCAGCAGCAGCGGCATTCGCTGCTGCTGCTGCAGCAGCTACAGCAGCAGCTGCTGCTGCTGCTGGGGCTGGTGCGGCTGCAAACAGTAATAAAGAGAAGCTTCCGCCTAGTTTACCAAGAGGGTTATTGTTATTAAATGTTTGAAAAAAATAAATAAATATGTTGAGCAGCAAAAAGAATTTATTAGGACTGCTGTCCGTACACCTCGTGAGAGCGCGTTGAGATACTGCAGCAGCAGCAGCAGCAGCACCAGCAGCAGCAGCAGCTGAGCAGTGACAGCAGCAGCGCGCAGCAGCGCTGTTACTGCTGCTGCCGCAACTCCTGCACTTCTTCTTTTGCCGCGCGTCTTTGGCGAGTTATTTATTTTCAATATTAAAGTTTATTTCTGTTGCAGCTGCATGGACATCTAGACAGCAGCAGCAGCGGCAGCAGCAGCAGCAACAGCGACGTCGGCCGAAGGTCTCCGTCGTGGCGCATGCGGCAGCTGCTGCAGCGCCAGCAGCAGCAGCAGCAGCAACAACAACTTCAGACTGCAGTGTACCTACACCTCAGCTAACAGCTCACTTGTTCTGCTGCAGCACAGCAGCTTCTGCTTAGCTGCAGCAGCAACGCCTCCGGCGGCGGTTAAGCGGACCAGCTGCAGCAGCTGCAGCAGCTGCTGCAGCTGCATTAGCAGCAGCAACAATAGCAACAAGAACAACAGCAGGCGCCGCTGCTGCAGCAAGAGCAGCAGCTACATGAGCTGCTGCACCGCGCTGCGCAGCGTCAGCAGCAGGTAGCTGGCGCGCGTCGCCGCCCGCAGCAAACAGCAGCAGCAGCAGCAGCAGCAGCAAAGATGGAGGGCAAGCCTGTGGTGCTGCGGCTGCGCGCTTCTGCTGGCCACAGCAGGGTCACCAGCAGCAGCAGCAGCACAGCAGATGAGGTGTATGTACAGGTGGCGCAGCAGCTAAAAGTCTCCACAGACACACTGCGTCTCTACACAGACGCAGAGAAGAAACAGGTGCTGCTGCTGCTGCTGCTGCTGTTGCTGCTGCTGCTGCTGTTGCTGCTGCTGACGGCTGCGTTTCTGGTGCTTACTTCAACGTGCTCCTCTCGTTGCTCGCTGTCTGTTGCTGCTGCTCTGTTGTTGCTGTTGCTGCTGCTGCTATCGCTGTTGCTACGGCTGCTACTGCTGCTGCTGCTGCTGTTGCAGCTGCATGTGTGGCTGCTGGTATTCTTTCTCCTGGTGCAGCGCGGCTGAATCTGCGGGCTCGCTACTGCTGTTGCGGCTGCTGCTGTAGCTGCTGCTGCTGCCCCTTCCGCTGCTGCCTCTGCTGCTGCTGCTGCTGCTGCTGCTAGTGACTTGCTGCTGCTGCCTCTTACCTGCTTGGTGCTTGTGCGATATTGCTTCTCCGTTTGTAGTTCTTGGTGCCGCTGCTGCTGCTCGCCGCCTCCAACTCGCCTGCTGCTGCTGCTGTTGCTGCTGCTGCTGCTGCTGCAGCTGCTGGAGCGGGGCTGTCGCAGCGTGGAGGCCCTGGGCCTGACTTCTGGCAGCATTTTATTTGTGGAAGCTGAAGGAACAGAATCCATTTCTGCTTCTGCTGATCTTTTTCCTGCTGCCAACACCCCGCGCAGCAGCAGCGACAAAGACGCAGCAAGTAAGCGCAGCAGCAGCAGCAGCAGCAGCAGGTAGTCTGCATGTCGAAGCAGCAGCGAAAGGAACTGACACAGAGGCTGCAGCAACTGTGAGCGGCAGGTGCATCACAAGGTGCAGCAGCAGCAGCAGCAGCAAACAAGGAGGTTTGCTGCCGCGCGTTTGCTGACAGCAGCATCAGCAGCAGTTGCTGCTGCTGCTGCTGCTCGGGTTCTTAACGGAGTAGTCGCAGTCTTCGTGTCGTGTGTCTTTGCTGCTGCGGCCGCAGATGCGCCTGCTCCGAGCACCAGCAGCAGCAGCAGCAGCAGCAGCAGCAG